TTTTTTTTCATAGAAGACGACTCATCAGAAACAACAATAACATCAACCAAGAAGACCACGAGCGCATCGAAATCAACCAAGAAGACTACGAGGGCACCAACATCAACAAGGAGTAAGTACCATGTGAAGGAATTTCGAGTCTTTTGTTTTATGTATAAACAGAAAATACTGAGTGCAAATGAAGCTTTTTTACGCAGAGACTAATTTACTCATTGATTTTAATTCGAAACGTTTGATAAGTTCAAAAGATGATTTTTTTAAAGAGAATGTCATGGCGAAATAGGACGTTCGATGCACAAATTTCTCTCTGTTTATCCGTTGACCTAGGAATAAAAATATTTGATACAAGAATAGATCTCCTATTGAAATTACATGAGAGTAAAATGAAAAATATGAAATTTTGCATTTCTTTAGAATCAGTTCCATTTCACAATTGTACCGATGTTGACTTTACATTGATTCTCGAGTACATTTTTCCATATCCTCAATCTAAGAAACCCGTTATTGGCATTAACGGTACATCTCCTGGTCCAACGATTGATGTCTACGAAAATGAAACAGTTTGCATTCGAGTCATTAATAAATTAGATGTTCCTTCAGCCATTCATTGGCATGGTGTTCGACAATTAGGTACACCAGATATGGACGGTGCTACTGGACTAAGTCAATGTGCTATACCTCCAGGACACGAAATGATTTATAAGTTTCAAGCAACGCCAGCAGGAACAACATGGTATCATGGACATCTTCTCGAACAACTCACAGACGGATTAATGGGAGCATTAATTATTCATCGTCGTCCGGAAACATATGCAGATTTGTATCAAAGTGAACAAGTAATTATGATCGCAGATTGGTATAATATTCCTGCGCACACGGGACTAGTTCCCTATCATTTTAGCCCAACAAATCCTTTTGGTCTTCCTCCTCCACCAGATGCTATTTTGATGAATGGTAATTTTACTCAGTCGGTGTTCTTTCCAGTTGATGGTGCAGAAGTTATTCGATTTCGTGTGATATGTGCTGCTGCATTCTCAATGTTTACAATATCAATTGATGGTTGTGAGTTAACTGTTATTGAAGTCGATACAACAACGACCAAACCGTATGCAGTCGATTCATTTACAGTAAATGTTGCTCAACGTGTTTCTTTCTTGTGTAACTTAACCCAGTTAAATCCAACTTATACTGCATCCCGTTCCAAATCAATTTATATACGAATACAAGCTAATGAGGCGGTCTATGCTCAAGACGTTCCTAATTTTATTCCTCCTTACGAAAATCGATGTTATCCTTATCCAACTTTCTTCACTTCATTATATCTTGCATTTTTATCACTTGATTCAACAAACTCAACACCAACATATCCAGCTAGTTTCGCAACTCCAATACTATCGAATGTTACTCCTCCACTCGATACAAATATTCTAGATGCTCGACCTCTGATTCGAAATGCAGACGGAATTCCAGATGCAACTCATTGCTTATATATTCTGGTTACATTTGGTCTGGCATCAAATGGATATGGTGCTGCATTTGTGAATAACGTCACATATAGTTCAGATGCTAATTATATGCATATGAGACCTGATCCACCTGTGGGATTTACTTCAGATTTATATGAACCATTACTCTATCAAATGGTAAGAAAACCTAATCAACTAGCAATTCCAGAACCTATTCTGGAAGAGGGAAGCGAATGTCTAGCCATTCAAAGTGATAATAATGGACACTATTTAATCCCTTATCTAGCTGTTGTTGATTGTCTTATAAACAACACAGCTGGTGGTGAACATCCGTTCCATTTACATGGTCATAATTTTTGGATTGTCTCAACATCGGACTATCCCGAAGCTGAAACGCTGTATGCCGGAGACTATACTATACGTGATACTGTCAGTGTACCAGCAGGTGGTTGGGCTAAAATTCGATTTTTTGCCGATAATCCTGGTGCTTGGTTCTTCCACTGTCACATCGAATGGCACATGGCAGATGGACTAGCTGTAGCTATGATTGTTGCACCTGAACAGCTTTTGACTAATGGTTATACAATTCCACAAAGTGGACAAAAACAGTGCGAAGCACTACAACGATTCAATACGACTTATGATCCTGTACCACCCTCAAGTTAACTAACAAGAAAAACAATTCATATTTTATAAAACTCTTCATTTTTTTCAACAGAAATTTTTATCAATTTAAATATTAATCTATGTAGTTTCTTAATAGTTTGACATCTTTTAATAAATGATATTCTTATTATTAATTTTTTTTAGAGAAAATATATAATTCATAGAATCATCAAATTTCTACACCGTTTACTATCCATACTTCAAACTATTCCGATTATCTGATGGGATCCGTAACGAAATCGAATCGCATCATAACAGCTTTAGTATACATAAATCTTTAAGAGTTTTTCTTAGTCAATATTCTTATCAAGTATACTGATTCCTGTTATAATGTGCAAGGAAAGACAAAAAGAAGTCTTTTTTCTATATATCATCCTTAATAAAACATTTTTTCTCTTATCAGTATCATATTATTTGCACCACTTGTGACAATTTCAGGCCCAGTATAGAGCTGTATAAGATTTGATATATATATATACTTTTATTCATTAAAAGAAATCGTTTGCTTACTGAATATTTCTCGTGTCTTATATGGCACTCGAATCATCGAGCAGCCTAACACAGAAAAGGCAAAATATTAAAAGGTAAGAGTACTGAAACCAAGAATAAATATCAAAAGATAAGAGTACTGAAAACAAGAACAAATATCATATAAAAAGACAAAAAACCAAGCCATCGTTTGGCTTGGCACATGAAGAAATTGGCACAACAGTTTCGGTTCTTGAGGGTGGGTGGGTGTGGGTATGTACCATCTCATAACTCACCCACGCTTTCACCCACACCCACACCCTCAAGGGACAAATTATACTACAATAAATTTTTTGAAAGTTAAAAAAAGTTTTTAGAATGATTTTACCTACATTTAACTGTGAGTTTTCGAATTCTTAATGGATCGAAATTATCTTAAAATTTTTTACAATAGAAGTAATTGTTTATTAAAGTGTAAAATTTTATATATAATTACAAAAGATTCACACAACAAAGAAGAATGTAAATAAGTATTCAAAAAAAGAAGTCATTGATTAATTAATAAGTCATTTTTACAATTAAGGATAAATACATTTAACATTTTGTGCATAATCACATCGATCAGCTTGAGGATTAAATCGAAGTGATGTTGGACAACTTCGACTTAATAACATTCCATATTGATTTGTATTTGAACCTAAATAATGTACATGAGAAAATATTGAATTAAAGTTCGTTCAAGATCAAACCTTGTTGATAATGAATACATTCAAAATATTTTCCTTCTGCACAATTATATGGATCAATAAAACGACCATTTGCTTGACAACGAAAATATTCTTTTACAAAAAAAAAACAGTGATTATTCTATTTTATTGTAAAATTTACTAACCAGTTTCACAAAATCGTCCACTAAATCCGCTTTTACATAAACAACGAGCTGAAACAGCTGAACCTGGTGAATTTTCATAACAAGTACCTCCATTAGAACACTGCATTCCATTACAATTACCACTTGCTAAAAAATACATATCTCATTATAAATATTATTCTACATGTTTATCAATTTTTTTCTCTTTCTACGACAAAAGCAAATCCTCATTATTTACTTAATAAATGTTCGCAGAGACGACCCGTAAAACCATTTGGACATACACATGTCTGAGAACCAACTAATGCGCACATTCCACCATTTCGACATGGACATAAAAGAGTACGAGCAGTGCTTGTTGGTACTGAAAAATAATAAAATCAATCTATGTGTACTCTTGATAATAAGAAGTAGAACAAAATTACCGTCTCTTGGTAAACATTGCGAACGAAAACTTCCATCTTGACAATAGCAAATATAAGATGCTTGAAGATCATAACAAACTCCACCATGTTGACCTAAGCATCAAAATAAAATAATAAAATAGTATTATTTCTAAAAATAACTTACAAGGATTTGATGCACATTCATTAATATCTTAAGTGAGAATAAAAAAATAGTAAAAATAAATTAAATTTCTTAACTTACTCATCTCGCAAAAGACGCCTGTAAAACCCGGTTTACAAAGACATCGATAATCATTCGATGTTTGTAAACATCGTCCACCATTCATACAAATTCGAGAATCAAATGGATTACATGTATAAGGTGAACTAGTAGTCGTACTTGTCGTTGCCAATACACGAGCTGTTGATGATGAATATCCGAAAACTTATAAAGAAAAATAATTAATTTAATTGCAAAAAATTATATTTACTACGACAAGATAAACCAAATTGTCCATTAGGACATAAACAAACAAATGGTATATTAGGATCATTAAGTTGAAAACATTTGCCTGGACTACATGGATTTTTTTCACAAGCCGAAACAATTTTTTCTAAAAAAAATAATTAACCAATAATTTATATCATTTTAATATTTTTATCGTAAATACCACTGCATAACTTTCCAGTCCATGTCGGTAAACAATTACAATAATAACTTGCTAAACCTTCAATACATAAACCGTTAATACATGGATTTGAATAACAACCACTACGAGTAACTAAATATATAAATAATATTATTGAATTTATTAGAATTATTCTTATTTACCATTACAACTTGTTAATGAAATTGCATCACCTGCACATCGACAAAGATAACCATGAATTAAATTTGGTACTACTTCACAAACACCTTGTCCACAAGGTTTTCGCGAACATGGATCTATCAAATAGGATTAAAATTTATTCTTAAAAATATTTCAACTAACTTTCAGTAGGACATGGTAATATCGTATTTGCACCACTCGGACATCGACAAAAATAAGGTAATGCAGGATTTTGTGTTAATATACAAACACCTGATCCACAATTAATATTACTACAGATATCTATAATAAATAGAACTGTTTTTTTTTATTCTCAATAAAATAAATTATTTTTAATTACCTTGACTATACGCAAGATGTAGAATGATAAAACATAGACCGAATATAATCATTTTAATGCAACCGTTTGTCTCTTTATAAATACTGATGAATGCAATCGAATAGGTCCGTGACAATCAGACATTCTCAAATAAGTCACCATCTTTTTTTCTATTCTCAAATTACGATAGTTCTTCACATACATTCGATGACGTTGTTTTAGAAATTGAGGTCATTTGATCACATCGTCGTCTGTCTCGTCATTTGTACAAAACAAAAGTAGTCGTCTTAACCCATCACATACATTCTTTTAGACCTTGGGAATAACACGGACACATCACATCACATATATATATATATATTCATTGACTGAGAGAGTGTAATATGATCATCATGATTGAACAAAGGTACGACATTTGATGACATACAGAACAAAACAAAAAATTCATCTGTTCGTTTCTATTCGAAGGACAGAACAAAAGTTTTAATTTCTGTTTTTTTTCTATTTGAATCAAAACTGAATATATATATCGAATGAAACAAATAATAGCTATTTTCTTTTTACGTCATTGAATTTAACTTTCAAGTTTAAATGTATTCAGTTTTCTTTTTATACAAATTTCATTCGATTGAAAAAAAACATTCATGCATCTTACGTTAAAAGGATTCGTTTTCTTTGATGATAATATAAACACATGTGCACATAAGTAGCAAAAAAAAAACTTTATACAAAACTATTTGTTTCATTAATCGACGCAGAAAAAAAAAGAAGTCCATGAACTACGGATCAAATCTTCCAGCTGAATATCCGTCATCATCGGGTCAATCAACATTACATAATAATGATGTGAATACACATACAGTTTTTGATAATCCTTATCCATCGAATCAAAATAATCATGATAAAAAAACTTATCAACCACCATCGTATCCTCAAAATTCACGTAAATCTATTCAAGGAAATCAACCAATTGTTCCATTAAATGATGTTGATGAATATGAAGAAAGTATTCCAACAGCATCGAGTGATGCACGTTCAATAACAACAAATAATACAAATGGTCCAATGAATAAATTTTCTAATCATCAACAACCATCGAATGGCGTCGATAGTATTTCACAACCACATCCTAATGAAAATGTAATACAAACAAAAAATAAGAAAACATCTGATGAAATCAAAACTAAATCAACATTTAAAAATCAAAAACAACCTATAACAACACGAACTCAACCAGTCAAAGATGTAAATAAAAAAATTTTGACTAATGAATTTAATGAAGATATACCATTAGTTCAATCAAGTAATACTGATATATGGTCAAATGATACAAAAAAGAAATCAGTTGTTGATGAAAAATCAACTAAACAAACTTGGGCAGTTAAAAATGATCAATTACAAATGGGTCAAACTCAATCCGATAAAACAACACGTTCAAAACCATTTGATAATAAATCAATTGGAAATAAAACAAAACCTATAGCTAATTCAATAAAACGTGATAAAACATATGACGGTCAACATGACCCATCATTAGATGCACTTGTTGATGAAGATCTCTTTCCAAAATCTTTTTCAAATGATCATATTCGAAATTCTACTATACATCAATCAATGTCAAAAAAACATCATTTACCGAAAACTTCATCTGGTAAGTAATTTATAATTATAGAATAATTATTAATATTTATTAAAAAAGATCCTTCAAGTCCAACTAGTTCAACGAAATTTCCTAAACATTCACAATATGAACCACCATCACCTAAACGTATACCACCAACTTATACAACAAGTTCATGGAGAAAACAAGAAGGATTAGATGTATTTTATATTATTTTTATGTGATTGTTTCATAGTTATGTTTCTTTTTAAGTATCAATCTGATTCAAATCCTTTTGATTATTCTCCAAGTGAATTAATGCAAAATGATTATTATCGTAAAGATCCTAATGAACGTTTTCGTGAAGCTCTTCAAAAATTACGTGCAGATCGTGCTGAACAACAAAAAGAATTAGTAGAAATAAATAAAAAAAATTTTCTTTTTTTTTATTAGAATTTTTTTTCAGAGTGAAACAACAGCAAAACGTTTGCAATATGGTGATCATATACGTCATTCAACAAAAGATGAATTACTTGAAAGTATTATTAAACCATCACCATGGTCAGATTTTATAGAATTAAAAAAAGGAAATGTTTTATCACTTTCCAACGAAGAAAAGGTTTACTAATCAATTTTAAGATAAGCAAATATGTATCTTGTTTTTTTCTTCTATTAATAGAGACGTTTTGTTAAAAAAGGAAGATCATATAGTGAAAAAATTCGATATCGAAATGCTGATATGTGGCATGCCAGTGAAGAAGCACGATCACTTCAACAAAATAGCTCTCGGAAAGATGATATTCATGTAATTTTCAATTATTTTTCTAAAAATCATTTTTCTACGTATATATAAATAGGAATTTGAATCAAGTAATTTTACACCACGTCAAAGAACGAATAATGGTATTTCGAAATCTGTTAACCGTACACCAAAAGAATCTGACTTGATATCGAAAATAAAGTCAACAAATAAAATTGAAATGAAGCAAAAAGATGCTCGTGATTTTAATCAAATGAAAACAAATCAAATTAATCGTACATTTATACGTACTGATCGATCTTATGCGATTGGTTTATCAGAAAATGATTATGAAAATATGTCAGATCGTAAATCTGAACAACGAAATAAGAAAAAGAAAGTGCACTATGCTAAATATGATTCAGTTGGAAGAGAAATAAGTGGTATTGAAAAACCTTATGATCGATTAGATAATCTAGATCAACGAAATACGCGTGTAAAACTTGGTAATATTAACAATTCTTTATTTACAGTACATGAAGAAAGACCAGTAGAAGATACAACAAATAAAAAACGATGGGTGTATTTCCAAAAAGCAAATTTAACTTAAGATTTTTATTGTTATAATAAAATAAGAATTCATTTTAATATTATTTTTCAATAAATAATTATAGAATTTTGAACATAGATCTTCATTATCTATGTTATAAACTAAGAATAAATTTTTCTTGATTTTAATCAAATAACAGAAAGACGAGTTCTTTTTTTTGTTCTTTTCCTTTCTTTTTACGTCGCTATGATGCATTTGTATAACAACATAATTTTAATTTTCACATTATTCTTACTCGTTCTTTTTGATTTGTTGTCGTACTTTTTATTTTCTTTCTCAATTTATTTGCCATCAAAATTATTACGGAATAGTCATAATATGATGATATATAACACAAGATCAAGTTAATTTTAACTATGATTAAATACATTTGATTTCATCTTCATTAAGTCAAGTACATTCATACAATCTATTTTTTCTTTTCTTTTTCAACTTCAAATTAGAAACAACAACAACTGAAGAGAGTGAAGTATATGTTACATTTTACTTAAAATAAACATACAAAACACATTTGTATATATACATAAAAATTGTCAAAATAGTATTACAAAGAAATGGATACATTAGAATCAGAATATTCTTTTCTGGCACCAACATGGAGATTACCACCCATAGCAACACCATCAATGTATTCTCAAATTTATGGCACTTCATATTTATCTAACGATCCTGATTTAGGTCTTGATTGGGTAAGTAAATGAATCCTAATAATTTTAAAAAAAACAAGATATATATCTTAATTATGTTATTATTTTTATTTTCGATCGATATAAAATAATATTGGTTTTTTATGTCTTGTTTATTAAGATTTTATGGAAAAATACATTGTATAATTCACGATATGCTCCTATACATGTTCCTTCAGCAGTACCTCGTTCGGATTATTCTACACTATCACATTATCCTGTAATAACACCTGCTACTATTGTTTCTCAACAACAAAATTCTCAAATACCAATCGAACAACGTACTGCACAATCTCGTTCTTTTAATTATCAGCCACCAAATAATCTTTATCAGGATAATACTAAACCTCACAATAGTGTTAATTCAACAAATAATCAATATCAAAATAATATTAAACCTCACAGTAGTGATAATATAACAAATAATGAATATCAATCTCGTACTTATGATTCTCATAATCATCAACCAATTAATAAAATTGTTAATCATGAAATAACATATCCAACAAATATTCAAAATAATTTACCTCGTCCATCAACTCAAAAACGACGTGTACAAGTAGTTGATTACAGTCGTCAGACACCGTCAACATCCATCAATGAATATATGACTGGTAGAAATAGTTCAATTCCAAATCGTGTACCCGAAACAAATAAGACTCAATCAAAATCGAAATCCTTTGTATCGAATACACCTCGTGATCATAATGAAGAAAATAGATTCGGTTATACGGGAAATTATGTCAATGTTCATGAATATCTCTATGGTCTATCTGCACCTGATCCTGGTTAATAATAGAAGAATTTTTTTGATTACTAAAGAAACCTTTTTAAAAAATATTTTTGTTTGATTTAGGTAGTTATGTCGATGCATATAGACAACATCAACGTCGTTTACACGATGAAAAAGTCAATAGAAAATCTGTCTTAAGTGACTATAAAAATTTTGCACAAAATGGTGGTTTTGGTCCTGCATTTGGAAATACAGATCATCGAGCATATAAAGAAAAAGTTGGATTAATAATTAATAAAAAAGAAAACTATATATTTATTTTGATTAGATTAATAATGAAAATAGAAGAAAATCTTATGCAAAATCTCTACGTGAAATAAATCAAATAAAAAATGAAGAACAAAAACGTTTACAAAGCAATTATGGACAACATAGTAATCGTACACCGTCTGTACCAAAAAATCAACGGGTATTTATGTTTACAATAAAAATTATTTATTCATTAATTTTTCTTGATGAACTACTTGTTGTTCGTCTACATATATATATATATTTAATCATCCATTTTTGCAGCATAATGCCACTAAATCTCACTTTTTATCTGCACAAGAGGTGAGAGATTTTGAACGAGAAATAAAACGTGAACACAATATCAAATGCAAATGTTCTTTGCATACAAAATCTTCTTAATCAACTATTTTAATATGTATATAATTTGCTTTGAATAGTTCTAATTTCGTTGTATATAATTAGTTTTGTGTGCTTTATTTATTTGCTTTTAAATGAATGAGCTTTTTTTTGTTCAATATTGTAATGAATTATTCTGCATTTCAGGCACGAGAATATGCAGACACAATTGCAAAACCTCTTCATACGAAACCATTGGTGCGTTTGCGTGACCCTATTTCCGGCAACGTCATTATTCGTGATGCTTTTCATCAACATCATCAACGCTTAATCACTTAATACTTAATTTATTTATTTCTTGCTTGCATTGTTAGGCTTTTTGTCTTCAACAAAATATCTTATCCTATTCACTTAATATTCTGCTTTCTAGATTAAAGAATTCTTTTTCTTGTATTTTGTTTATCATTTGTATATGTAACTTGTGTTAAACAAATGCTTTATTTTATATGCATATACACACTCAATGGAAGGAAATTTTTTTCAAACTAAATTTGAATAATATGTAAATTGATCTCTATGACAAAAGAAGTCTTGCCTAGAAGATTTATGTTAAGTAAACAATTCGGGAAAAAAATAGAATAGACTGGTAAAAATGAGAAGGTTATTTGTAATAATTCAATAAGCAAGTAGAAAAAAATCTAACAAATGTTAATCAACTAATTTTTTTCCTTGAAATATACATCTTATAAACTACTTAATTTTTAATCTGATCAAAAAAACGTCTTTTAAATTCTTAATAATAGATTATTAATTATTTTTATTATATTTCATAGTCTTCGACTGAATTATTATCACAACTTCCAGTTATTCCACCAATATCAATAATACCTTTACCAACAAATATACGTCGATCAAGTTTAGATACTATAAGTACAGCTAATTTGTTATCAAGAGAATTTGATATAAATCAAACAAGACATACACCATCTTTATCTCCTACACCAAGAAAAAAACGACAAGTGCGGTTTCATAGTTTTGATTTAGTTCGACGTCGTTCAAGTACATTTATTAATTCACCTTCATATAATCTGAATCAAACTGATACGTCAACAAATTATTTTCATACACGAAAATCAGCTTCGAAAATTCTCGATGAAGAAGAATATAAACGAAAAAAAAATTATGAATCTTTTCAAAAATCTTCTAATCTTTCAAGACAATCAAAATTAAATAAAAATAAGATAACAACAGCAACTAATGTTATTAATCAAACATGTAAATCTTCACATATGGGAACAACAACAACAACTAATAATAATTCAAAAAAAATTATTTTAAATAAGAATATTATATCTCAACCTTCAATTCCTATTCCAGATCGAAAATTACCAATAAATTCAAGATTACATATGGCTTTCAAAAATAAATCGGATCATAAGACTGATGACAATGATTCATTTCATAAATAAAAACATATTTTTTTTTTCTCTAACTCACGTAATGATAAAAGAAAAGATAAAAAAAACAGTATGTGCGAATAGAAAAGGTCATATTAGATAATAAAACATGCCGGAGAGTCTCGAACATATTGATAAAAATGCATCCAAAGAAGAAAAATATAAACAAGTATTAGCTGAAATCAAAAGTTTAGTTCAACATGAAAAAGATTTTATTGCAAATCTTGCTAATATTAGTGCAGTACTTAAAGAAGTATTTGGTTTTTGGTGGGTTGGATTTTATTTAGTTAAAGATAATCAATTAGTACTTGGACCATTTCAAGTAAGTTCACGAAATACAATACTTGTTTTTGCACAATTTAATTCTTTTTTTTTCATAGGGTCCATTAGCTTGTACAAGAATTCAATTGAATAAAGGTGTTTGCGGTGCAAGTTGGGGACAAAGTAAAACTATTGTTGTTCCAAATGTTCATCAATTTCCTGGTCATATTGGTATGAAATAAAGAATTTATTTTTATACTGAAAAATATTCTTTTCTTTCTTATTTTTAAGCATGTTCATCGGCTTCATTGTCTGAAATAGTCGTACCTATTATTCGTATGTCATCAAATAACGAACAAGGACAAGTATTAGGTGTATTGGATGTTGATAGTGAATATGAATGTCATTTTGATGATATTGATCAACACTATCTTGAACAACTTGTACGCGAATCTATTGAACCATGCTTTAATTAAAAAGAAGAAAAAAAACTAAGCAAACTTAATAAACATCTTTTAAAATGATTATTTAGTTCATTGAGCAAAATAGTTTTTTCTATATTAGTGTATTGTTCTTGTGTAATGAATATGAATTAAGATTTTATTAATAATGATTTTCTATAGAACTATATGTTGATTTTATATGCTTTGAAATGTATTAGAAAAAAAATAGAAGCTTTTGTCCTTGAATGGATTAACGAATACAATAGAAAAAAAATTATTTTTTTTTCCGTTTCTCTTTTCACTATCGATGAAGAATTTATGATGAGAGAACACATGTAGCATTTAAAAGAGATCCTCGGGTTCATTAACAGAACATTTTTCCGGATGCTTCAACATTCGATACAGTTTAATTAACAACATATGAATACCCAAGAGTGAAAGAAAAATCATAATGTAGGTTTGTATCGAATCGAAGTGTAGAGTTAATTACACTTTTATTTAGTACAATATTCATACTCTTATCAAAATAAGAAGAAAAAAAGAAAGAAAGAAAGTTCTATTCAATAAAAGTAATTTGATCGGTAATCTATCCGTTCTGATTTGACCTTCGATACTTCTTCTTCTCATCAAAACCTTGTTAACGGATGTATTAAAGACTAGAACGAGAAAAGCACGTTTATAAATAATAGTTATTAGAAATCGGAAATCACGGTGTATTATTTATATTTATATATTTTTTCCATCATCTTACTTTCTGATTATATTATTATAATAAAATTAGAACGAACAAGAAGAAAAGGAAGAGATTCATCTTAAACACTCTTATTTTTTCTTCTATTATACACGATGATTTTTTTCTTTTTTTTCAGATTTTTTTTTTCTCTCGCTCTTTTTCTCAATCATTTCTTTTAGTACAGTAACGACAATAATAAAGTCGATCATGGATTTTTATTTTATTCAATAATTTATCAAGTATGTATACACTTCTTATGCACATCTCAGTTGAGTTTATTTTCCTTATTTTTGTTTATTTTCATAAGAGAACTAGGTATTGATTAACAGGAAATAATATAGACGACTTATTAATGTTATTTTACAGAGCGAATAAATCTGTATACATGTCAATAGAAATTAGTTTTTGTAACAAATAATGATGTATATATCAATTTTTTGACACACACATATAAACAAGCTCGAAGCTATTTATAATAATACAAAAAGGAAATCGAGTTTCCTATATACATATATATTCTAACCTGAACGATCATTTCAAATAATCTCATCTCTTAATCATATACTTATATATATTTATCGACCACTTATTGTGTCACATAAACGATTTTTAGATATAGATTTTAGAAGTTTATTCTATTTATAGTGCTTCGAATGTTTTATTACAATTTATTCTTTGGATTTCTTCTTATTTCGATCATAATAGCAGATCAATATCAACCATCAAATATTCCTAATCCTTATGCACCACCACCATCATCATATAATTATTATGGATATCGACAAGCACAATCTCAACAGCAACTTCAAACACCATCACCTTATTTAAATAAACGAAATCCAAATAATGATTTATATTCAAATCCCGAACAATCATATTCTTCAATAGCATCAACTTATGGAACAACTCGAACGAAAGCAGCAGCTAATCAATGTAAATTACATATTAATTGTCCAAGTAAGAAAATAATAAGTAATTTTATTCA